TTTTTTTTGCAGGTTTCCGTTGGAGAGCATTAGAGCAAAAAGGAGAAAAAAAAATATAACCGGTACCGGAACCGGCACCGGTACCGGCGGTGCCGGTAACGATTTTGGGGCACCGGAACCGAGACCGGATGTGGTGGTACCGGTGCCGGTTCTCGGAACCGTTAAGCCGTGCCGGTGGTCGTCACGGTGCTCGGTACCGGCGGTACCGTTTCCGGTGACGGTACCGAACCGGTACCGTGTCTAGCCCTACATATACTTCCTTCTTTGGCATATCCCTAAATTGTTTCTTTACTTTGATCATCTCTTTCCAGTAGACACAAGAATCAAGTTTAGGGATATAATCCCACCATGTAGATTCTTTAATGTGCTTACTATGGATCCATTTACTTGTTACATTCCAGTTTAACTCCATAACTGCAATTTTATTTTTGTTTCCAATATTTCTGATATCTAGTCTTCCATATTTCTTCCCAATGTACACTTCATCCCATTGGACTAAGGTACCCTTCTGATACCCATTTACCTGCTACATCCCTATTTATCTACTCTTATTTTCAAATATCTAAAACTAGTTGTTGTTTAATTTTCAAATTCAATAGGATATTGTTTAGAAACTATGGATTTATTTAGATATTTGGATTTCAATTCCAAAATTAAGTTTACAAACAAATTCATTAATGATTCACCAACAATTATTGTTTGTGCATGTCTGTACAAATATAAAATCATGATAATCCCAAAATGTTAGGATTACCCTAGCACGGCTCATGTCATATTATGACATCGGTCCTTACTCCTTTGTGTCAAAGAACTCCAAAAAAAAAAAAACTTGATCAAAGACAATGCAAGCTCAAGCAAATAAGTTCAAGATTATTGTCATTTCTGTCTTCTTAAGTTACAACTTACAACAATTATGTAATCACACAAGTAAAAACAGTCAAATTAAAAAAGAAAAAAAAGGACTGAACCCAAAAGCCCCAACCACATAAACACTACTTGCCCAACAAAAAAAAGTATTACACATTGGCACCAAGAGATGAAGCACACAAGAATTTACATTGAAGAGAAACCTTTCAACAAGTGGAAAAAAAATTTATTAAAAAAAAAACTAAATCAACTCATAAAAAATTTCATCTAACAGTTCTTCAAGAACAGCTGATTCTATCACAAAACCAATAATTCCAATTTCAGAATGGAGATCCAGCCATGCCCCAGGCTTCTCCATCTGTTTCTTGATTAACTGGTCCAGAGAACGGCTCGGGGAATGCTTTAGAAGATGCCACTCGACCCCAGCCCAAACCCGGTGGATAAGGTCCATCCCCTTGGGGATGGGCCTGATGTTCTGTTTGACAATTGGGAAATGGAAGTCGATCACCTCCTTGAGGACCTCATTGGTGCAATCAAAAAGGAGTCTTTGGTCGTGGCAAGAACGGTTGGAGAACAGCTCTACTTCATCAAACAATGACAGGTCTAGAATCTGGTCTGAGAAAAGCCACCGCGAGAGGTATTCGTCCCAGTTCAGGTCTGAACCTAGCAGCACAGCCTCTACATATTCAAACGCAGTTTCCTCGCTTTCCAAACAAGTCCTTAGCGCCTGTTGATTAGGAGTTGATTGAGCTGCTGCTGCTTCTGATTCCTCCTCAAATTGGATCTTCCGTGGTTGAATATCAGGTTCAGCTGTAAATCCAAGGACAACTCATTTAAAGCTAGATCATGACATTGAAGAAAACTGCTACATATTATGATACGGTGTGTTGTTTGGGTAACGACTAACGAGAGAAAAGGAGTGAAATTATAGTGCCCATTTGGCAAAAGTTTCATCGTTTGACTTCAGTATTTTGAAAAAGACTATCTAATGACAACATTTAGATTTAGTTAGCCATAGCATTTTGAAAAGGCTAATTGAAAATGGTGTGTCCCCAAACAAGGCCATAGTGTGTTATGATTGAAAGAATTAGGAAAGATATAGGAGAAAAAGATAAGAAGGATTTTCTGGTATAAATGAATATATCCTTACTCTATTCATGAAAATATCTTGGGGTGGAGGAAATTTGCAAGAAAAAAGAATGATTTTCCCTAAGTTTTCTCTCTAGTTTTGAAGTGTTTTTTTGGTTGGTGGGTGGGTCCCACATGAATTTTCTCTATTCTTTTACTTTTACCTTTCTCCTAACCAAAAATATTATTATTTCCAAGTTCTATCTTTTTACACCAGAGCTTGGTGTAAAAAGAAATGAGCCCAACAAACAAAAGGGTGAGTTAAGAACAAACTCTAGAATCGACAAACCTGATCGACATGAAGTGCTTGCTGGACTGATATCATCATCCATACATAATGCATCAAGAACAGATATGGGACTAGGCCGCTCTGTTTTGTCCACCACACAATCAGGACCAGCTTTACAAGTTTCAAGTGAGTTTGCAGAGGAATCTGGAGGAGAAGACAGATTTTGTTCTGTGCCTTGTGATTCCTGAAAGTGATAAAACATTGGAGGTCCAAATAACAGAATAGAAGGGAACTAATTGTGTCTGGAGACGTAATATGAGAAATTTTCCCAATTTTTACCACTTTTGTGCATGACTACGGACTTCTTGCCTCTTTTGGTCCTTTCCCACCCCTTATCCGGTAAAAATCAATCAGAAATTGACAGGATAGAGAGTTTGTCGAAAGGATAAAAGCGGCAAAGATTTTTTTTCATAGTGGGAAGGATAGAGTGCTATGTATAAACTAACAATATGAGCATAACGGGAAGAAAAAACAGCAACTCACTGTTTTTAAACATTCAGATGTCAGTTCAGAGCTCTCATCAAAGAATGACACTGTAACATAAGCATTGTCCGTATTTACAGTAATTGAAGAGCTACATAAATCAAGGGAAGCATTTGATACTCTTTCATTCTTGTGGCATCTACTCTGAGACTGTTCTTCACTATCTGCGATCCATTGAGTACTTCAGAAATTAACATAAAGAATGAATAATTCATCAAAAGTTAAAACAGACAGTTTTCAACAGAAAAATTTCATCTTTGGTCCTGTATAGACCTTCATTTTTTTACTTTTTTGCGACTATGGATTTATTCACTTTTGGTCCTTCCAGTAACTTGTTCAGCTAAAGGACCAAAGGTGAAATCAGATGAAAGTTGTGGACCTAATGGACCGATAGTAGAAATGACATGATAATCAATGTACCGAAAGTGTTAGTACCTTCAACAGCCACTTGTCCAAGTGAAGGGACATCTGCTTCCACTCTCCTCTGTGAAGAAGAGATTTGATCTTCGCTGCTAAAACTGTTGCCGGAACTGCTCCTTGAAGAAACGTAATAATCGGAAGGAAGAGAGAGAATCTTCCCTAGAGATTTGGACAAATTCCCACTCATTGATGACCCTTCCTTTTCCTCGCCACTTTCCAGCATCTCAAATATATGTTTCTTTGCCTCAAGATATATGTTTGGTACCCTTTTCTTGGCGAATCTCTCTGTGTAAAAATGGTTTCGATTTGGAGAACTCCATCCCACATTCTCTCCACTAACCCCTTTCTCGCTATTAACACTCTTTTTAATCTCTGGAGATGTTGCTTCCCGGTCCTTCCCCATAACGTGCTTAAGCTTTCTTCTAATTTCAGTGAATGAGAAGAGGGACATGTTTCTCTCACTCTGAACCTTATTGTGAACTGGTAAGCGAACCGGGCCGGGTTTCAGAATTACAATTTTGTTTGAAGGCTGGGAGCTTCCTTGCGATTTGCTTCTTCTCCTCGGTGTAAATTTGGGTGGTTGTTGATTGCGCTCAATGATCTCATCAGCCACTTTTTCTAACCCATCATTCAGACTTTCAATATGCTTTACCAAATTAGAATTTGGGTCTTGTAAAAGTCTATGGAACAGTTCTGTGTTAGCACGTAAGGTCTCAAGTGCATCTGTCAACTCTTTGGAGTCTTCACTAATCTCACCTTCTTCTCTTAAGAGCTTATTGCTGTTCTTGAGTTTATGATTTATAAACACCTTCATTGCATAACTCAGCTGTTCTTCCTTTGAACAGTTCAAGTCATCAGAGCTACAAACTTTGTAACGAGAAGATAATCCGGATATCGCCTCTCCCGTGACATAGTCATCCAAATCAGATAGAGACAATTTTTTGGACCGCTTGTAAGTTTCATGTGTCTTTTTACGGGACTGTGTTCTATGGCTAGTTCCAAATGGTTGTGGCTCAAGTTCAGTGTCGCCGTCAACACTTTGATTCTTGGGGGCTGGCGTATCGTTCTCCATTAGTTCCTTTGCCCTTGTTTTAACTTCATCACGTGATGCTACCTCTCTTTCTTTCGTGTCCTAAAATTTGTGAGATTTTTACTTGTTAATGTCAGTAAAAAAAAGGACATCAGAGGGTTTGCAAAAGCAGTGTCTCAATGACCCGTCTAAAATCCTTACAAATTTCCATTCTTATCTTGATTTCTCTTCACATCTTTCAATCCAAACAGGGCATAAATACAACAACATTCAACATCAAAAGATCAAATTTTGGAAGAAAATACATTGCCAAAACTGAAAGATTGATCACAACCCTATATTAGACAGCAACTACCTATGGACCTTACTATAATTTTCTTGAGTTCTTAAAGCAATATTACAACATTCTACTTTTATCTTCTTTTTATTATGCGAAGTAAATGAATGCTTCTAGAATATATGGAGTACAAATGAACAAAATACCTTTTAGGAACACAAAATGGAGAAAAATGGCTCATAAAAAAGAGCAGTCCTTTAAAAGGGGTTTTATGATAAAAAGCATGGTTATTTGTATTTTCTTCTCGAAATAGAACTCATCCACTTCTAATCAAGACTTATATTTAGGAAAGTCATATAAAGTTTTTATTCCCAAAATAGAGCTCATTCACTCCTTTAAAAAAATATTTATTATTACTTTTTTGAGGAGTGAACAAGTCTAATGTTGAGGATAAAACATTAGTAATATATATGGGATAATGGGACTAGAGTTTATGCTTTACTTCTATTTAGTACAAATTATAATATACGGAGTAGATTTTTATGAATAGTCAATAGTGAAAGAATGTGAAGGCCCAAACTGAATACCTCAACTCTCATACTATTCTCACCGTGATCTGGAATAATGAGCTTTGAACTTGAAGATGCACCTAAAAGAAAAGAAAAAAGAAGAGTTTGATGGCGAGACTGAAAAAAAGAACCGAAAACTAATGAATAATTAAAACATTTCTTACCAACTTGTCTGTCAGGCTGCCTTCTATCTGCAAGCAGTTTTTTGGTGGATACGCCGCGTCGGAAGTCAAAGATGCTAATGAAACCCCACATACAACCTATGTGGCCCTTCTCATAACGTAATCGCCTTTGTGATTTCTTGGCCATTGTTGGAAATTGTTTCTGTGGTGTTATGATGTTTATTGACTAATCATACCCAAAAGAACAAATGGAATGCGAAGTTTCAGAACAATTTGGTTATATGAATCCTGAAAATCACAATCAAGAATTTCAATACAGTTAAATATGGAACAAGCAATTATACATTAGAAAATTTACGGAGTTGGAAGGAAAAGAATATGTTGTGACCCATAACTCTCATTTCAAAATCAAGTGGAAGAACATAAAACCATGATTTCACCTCACATTTTGTACACACACAGGCAAATGAACTTTGGGGAAGATTATGAGAATCTGAAAGAAGATAGAAAGCCGAATGGAAAGGCGTTTGGTCTACACATGTATAGGCATTGGGTACTCCCCTTGTTCCTAAAAAAACTTAACTTTTTCTTTTTGGCTCATCCCATATTTTTTTAAAATTTATAAAGAAGTCACACTTACACAATTTTACTTTCTTAAACTTAGAGCAAAGGGCACAGATATATTTCTTTAGGGATGGATGGAGTAAGTATTGAGGGATTCTAAACACAAACATGTTGTTTGGTTACAATAAATTTATCCAAAACCCATTCCCTCATACTCTCCTACCCCCACTTTGGTAACACATTCACCACATTACCTCATACAAGAGTGCCCCTAGAGTAAATCAAACAGTTAAAACTACAAATACAAAAAACTGAATTCATAGTAGAAATATGTAAAAATATCTAATTTTCTCTTTTTAAATAAATCTCAAGCACACAATTTCATTTTCTTAATATGAGTGCCCAAATTTTTGGGACAGGGTGAGTATGAATGGACTCTATTCCGTTTTGTTACAAGTTATGGAGTAAAATTTTCAAGAGATGGAGAGTATGAATGAATATTAGAGCAAACTCAACTATTTAAGCCAAGTTTCCGCTAGTGAACAGTGTCCTAAGAGTCACACTTAGATTCTTATTAAATGTCTAGGCGAAAGTACAACAACAACAACAACAACCCAGTTAAATCCCACAAGAGTAGGGTCTGGGGAGGGTGTGTGTACGCAGACCTTGCCCCTACTCGAAAGTAGAGAGGCTGTTTCCAAAGAGACCCCCGGCTCAACGTCGAAAGTTGCATTGCTTGACTAACTGCTACTTCATTAATTAAAGAAGCGCAGACAGTTTAGAGATCCATTTTGATTTATTCCATCACACCCCAAAGCCAAAAAATGGTGAAATTTTGGCTCCATCGGAGATGATGGAAACAATTGCAAAGAAAGTAAACAAAGAAAACAATTGCAAAGAACTGCCATAAATCCACAAGATTTACTGGCAATAAGAGGAAAAAGTTAATTAATGAAGAGTTCATTAGTTCAATTAAAAACCTGAGCACCTAGATGCAGAAAGTTCAATACACACACACAAATACATGTCATTATGACAGAAATATGCAGCTTTCAAGAAAAGCAACAATAACTATAAATCTCCATTTCATATTCACCCAGACAGTGAAGATCAATGAGCTGTATATACCCTTACATGGCATGCAAGGAATAAAACTTTGCTTTTATCTTTCCAGCCAGGATCTCTCAGCCTTATGATTCTTTCTTTAACTAAAAAACCAATATATATCCAACTTTTGGTCAATCTGATCTTCAAGAAGAGACCTTCACTTTGAAACAACAACCTGTCAAGGTATGTATGCCCACCAAAAAAAATTGTTTTCCCTTCACAAAATCTGCTCTCTCAATTTACATAAAACCAGAAGAAAATTCGCAGCCAAGATTGCAACTTTCTTCGGAGTACCCTCCAAAATTGGAATCACTGAGCTCAACTTTTGCTTGTATAGATCAAACACTCAAAATTTTAAAAAAAAAAAAAATCTTTTTCTGAATCAGAGAAACACGAACTTTTGAAAGCTCAAAAAATAACCATAAAATAAAAAGAATGGGGCAAAAAAAAAAAGAGAAGCCCCAGAACTTACACAAACAAATAATTTGGTTTGGTATTAATCGATCTATTCTATCTCCACTGATCAAAAAGTTGAAAAGAGAGAAACCCAGAAAATGGAAACACCGACCCACCACTTCAGAAAGAAAAATTTAGGCTTGGGTTTAGCTCTGGCGCAGAGGGAAGCCATTGGAGAGTGGGGGGGGGGGGGAGGTGGAGAGCGAGATCGAAGGAAGGTGAAACCGTGAAACTGTATTATAGGGAGAGAAACGCTCCGAGAAAGGGAAAGAACTTAGGACAGGGAAAAGATCAGTGGAATTGCGGGACCATGAACAGAAATCTAGTCCTTTTTCTTTTCCTGCCGAAAAAAAAGTTGAGTCTATGTTGGTTACAACTATGTTTGATGTACACTAATTCATCACAGAAATGGACACTTACAGTTCATCCATCCTAAAATTGACCATTTTTATTATTTCTTCTTTTTATTACTTACTCTGTCCTATAATATTTTTCTTGTTTGTGTTTATGGAGTTCGATCGACTTTATTTTTAATTTAATTTATTTGATTGTAGATGTAAAATTAATTTATATTTAAAAACTACATCAAAAGTTCTACAAAACAAGTGGTTACAAGATTATATTAATTTATCAAATACCTATTTTGTATTCATGACATTCATGCGTCAGCTTGAGGGGGAGTATTAGCGGATATTTGTATGTAGGTTTTACTGTAGCATATTGGGCCAGACCCGTCCCCGCACTTGTATTTATATTAGTTCACGAATAATGAAAACCAAATCAGTTTCCGCTAAAATTCTTCACCATAGAATTTTTATTGTTTGATTTTCATGGACTATAAAAAAATATTGAGAAATGAAAAAAACTGCTTGAAATTTATTTTTAAGAAAAAATAAATTTCTTTAAGTCTTTTATTTTTCCATTGAAAAAATGCTGATGAATTATTTTTAAATGACAAACAATGGGAAAAAAAGTTTTTTTTGTATGGGGAGGGTGGTGTGGGGGGATGTTGTTCCTGCAAATCCTGCCTGGAGAATCATAGAGGGTCATGGACCCACACCTGGGTACGTCTTGTGTCTCCCACTGTGAAGTGATTCACAGTCCCTTAAATCCACAAGGTGTGGCCTCTTGTAGGGGATTGTTCCCAATCCCATGACACTTAATAAGGGTCTCCCATGTCCCCTGCTCCATCAATACTCTCATCCTCATTTATTCTAGGCCATATGTTATACATTGTGAAGTAGAAAAAATATTTGTTATAGCTTAGGTTTGAAAAGAGGATGTGAATAAAAAATGATGGGTTCAATTATTTTCATTACTTAAAATGAATGTATGTTAAATTCTGATGTGTTACGATTTTTTTAAAGACGAAAGATCTAGGAAGGAGATAAGTCATCACTATGATGTGATGGTAGCATGTCCCGATATGTTTGGGGTAGTGCCCCTCCACGCTACAATAATTTTTTGTGTTAGCATTTTCAGAATTAATCTATACCATTAAAATTTTATCCAAAATACTAACGATAATCGAAAATGTTGTTCTGAAACAAAGTCTTAACTTGTTAGTCATTCTCCCCATCCAAAAAAACATACCCAATTACCCACCTTAATAGAAGTTGAATCTATCTTTGCCCTCTCGATCTCAAATCAGCCCAATTTAGCATGCAGTCCCACGCTTATTAAATTAGAAAGATTGTTGGAGGCAGTGCACAATTAATTAGTTGGAAAAGAGCACCAAAGGCGATAACGAATAAGTTTGATTCCTGGTAATTACACTAAAAAGATAATTATACTAAATATAGCGTCTCCGTAAGTAGGTTATATTGATACGCACAAATCATATCGTATAACTTTGGTTATTTTAACATGGGTAGCCGATATCATGTGACTCTAACCAATCTGGACATCTTACGGTTTGTTCGATCCCGAAATGGTTTTTGCCGCCCTAATGTCTTTACAGAACGCCCCCTTTTGCCCCCCCACCCAGCAGTGTTGACTGCACCCTAGACTTTGAATGACATTCTATCTAGTTAATAATTTTGACCAAAATATCAATCCAAATTGACAGGTTCAATTGAATACACTGGAGTGGGTGTAGGAGACGGGCTTTGAGTGGAAGATTTGTAAGAGAGTTTGAAGGGTAGAAAATACTTATATATCGAGCGTTAACCATCCTTGACCAGCGATCTAACATCACATAATGAATATTCACACAATTATATTGTCATAATAATATTGTCACTGCTCATACTGCCAAGCTCATATTTAAAAGCTAAAAGCAGTGTCACTTCCTTTTTATGTTCTGATGGTATTTTACGTTTTTACTCTTATTTAATTAAGGGTTCTTTTTTATATATCAAATATTTATATTATTTATTTATTCAAAACTATATTTAATTTGTAATCAATAAATATTATACTTCAACCAAAAAAATATTCTAGGATACACCGTAATTTATACTCCCTCCGTTCCACAATTGATTACAATGTTTATTATTTCAAAATCAAGATAATTCTTGTTTATTTATGCATTTCATTGATTATCTGATAAAATAAAATATTCTTGTCACATTTTATTTTACAAACCTTTGGTGTAATTTTTAATTATGTAGGTTTTATTTTTATTTATGTCTCAATCTTTAAATAAAATAAATTAAAAAAAACTTATATTTTTTTATTTCCTCCAATTTATAATCAAAATAGAAATGAATGGAGTATTATTCTTTTAGTTTTTTTTGTTGGTAAAAGAGACAAACAACTAATCCCCACATAATTTTGTCTAGTATTGGAATTAGCAATTAGTTGTATAATACTGATGATGACACCCACGATTGCTTTTGTCTAACATAAAAGTATATTGACCGTGTTAATTTTTATTTTGTTGCTAAACAACTTTTAATGAAAATATATTGTACATTACTAAATTTATTTTTAAAAGTATAATTGTAAATAGATTAAATTATTAAAAATAATTAAATACAGTTATAAACATTTATTATAAAGTATTTAAGAAACTAGTTCAATTAATGCAAGTGAATGCTGTTTTAAAGAAAAGATAACTAATAGACTATTTAACTTGAGAACTAATACGGAAAATATAAAGTATATAATTCATTTGACTTTCAAATATTGAAATTTACTTTGGTGATAAAAATAATTTTTAAATTTATAAATTATGAAACAAATTTAAATTTTTATTATTTTATTAAAGGCAAGTATGTTAAAGATGATGATAATTTTTTTAATAATAATAAATTTAATAAAAAATAATTTTAAAAATACACCTAAATAATTTATTAATTTAGAAATCATCCTAAATAGGACTAAAACATTGATAAAAGTACCAAAATAGGACTTTCATGTTTTTTTTCCGGAATAGGACTTTGCATTGTGGTAATGTGACTTTGCATTGTGGTAATGTGGCAGTGTACATGTGCAAATTACTATACTTTCTTGGTAATGTATATGACCATGTTTGGTAATGTAGGTCCTATTTCAGGAATAAAAACATGAAAGTACTATTTTGGTATATCTTCCATGTTTTAGTCATACTTTGGTCTTTCTCCCATATTAATTTTGGGTGAGAGAACATATTTTCGTGTCAACAATTTGATTACCTATCCAAATGCGGAGTACTTTAAATTAAAGGCAATAATTTAAAAACTCTAAAATAGCTTCTTGCCATTGCTCCTGAAATTGACATGGCCGGTCGGAAGTTGGTCGGCGGTAGCGGCAGTGCAATTGCCGAGCTGCCACTGAGTCCGTCGACGGCGACGCCGGCGGCGATCGTTTCCGAAGACACGGTATACGTCGCGGTGGGGAGGGATGTGAAAGAGAGTGAATATACTATGGCTTGGGCTCTGCACAACTCTGGAGGTAGAAGACTTTGCGTTCTTCATGTACACACTCCAAGTAAGTTTTTTTTTTGATATCTTAATTTGTTTATTCTTCGTTTTGGGAGTTAATTTGAAGTGATTGCATATTTTGGGAGCTTGCAGTCTCAAATCGAACTTGCCGGTGATTAGAATTGATCTTAGGGTTCCTGCTGAGTGAATTTTTGAATTTGAGGGATACCTCTTGCAGGGAAGTCCAATATGAGATAACCAATTAAGATTTTTTAGGAATCAAAAAATTTCATTTCACTATTTACATTAGTTGTTAACATAACATCATTTTAGCTTTAGCTGTAAAAATTGTCTTGTTTTATGTAAAGCCATTACATGATTTCAAGTACAAGGTCTTTGTCTTTAGAGTATATGTTAACATTTACTGGTTGTCACCTGATGTGATAAACATCATTATGCATTTTTGAAATAAAAATCCAAAGCGAAGTACCCCGTATGTCACCTCCTAAAGGGTGGAACAGCTTTCCTCCATTTCTGCTACCATATTTTTATTGACTGTTATTGGTATGATCTCGATGCCATATATTTACAACTATGTCTAACATGCGGTGCATTTCAACTTTTGGTTATTCTTCAGTGGGTAATAAATCTGGGATTGACCTGGAAGGATATCAAGTTAGATCATATCAAGAAAAAGAGAGGCAAGACATTATCAAGATTTTAGACAAATATCTTCTCATTTGTAGCCGAGCAGGGGTATTGTCTTTAATCTGTCTTTTAGAGGATGTTAATTTCCATTTTCTATTAATCTGCCAAGCTTCTTAGGTTGATAAGTGTGCCAAAACCTTTCCTTTTTAAAGCTGCATAAAATGATGCATGAAAGAGTCAAATATATACGGAGTAGTTACTGAATCTTCTCTATTTTCTCATGTTAACACATCATGATTATCACCCCCACCTTAAAAATCCTAACTATGTTGCACCATTGAGGTTAGTTAAAAGTTGAAGTGCATCCCTAGAAGTGGGTGAATTATCTGAAACGGAAAATGTGTCTTAAGTGTAAAAATTGTTTATGAAAAATTCCAGGATTTCTATAATGCATTCATGAAGATTTGGAATGATGTTAATGGATTCAATTATGAGCAATGATCGGCTTAATCTTGCAAGTTTACAAGAAAAGAAAAACCCAAAGTATACTGTGGCTGATGGATATGGGACACTATATTCCTGGAAGAGTAATGTTAAGGGATCGGTTAGTAGTCATAGTCCAGTTCCGCGAGGAGAGCGAATGAGAAGGGATAACAGGAGAGTCCTCCTTGTCACCCGTGGCTACAAAAGTCAATGGCCTTAGATTAGGATGATTTGTTTTAAATTTTGAATGAGTAAATTCGATAAATTGTCTTTTATAACAAGGTGTTTTCTATATATAGTCCAGATTTAACAACAACAACATCACCCCAGTGCCTCAAAGACTGTCGCCCATTGCAGGGTAAGGGGGGGTCTGTTGTACGTAACCCTCGTTACTTGACCCCTATATTTAAAACATAGAGCGGCTATTTCCGGATATATAGTCCTCAATTATAAGATACTATGTTTGTGATCCCATATTCCATGATCAGTCTTTTGGACCCAAATATGTTCTCCACATGTAATCCCCAAAGGGCCGATTCTGAAAAAGTTCTCAAGTATAGAGGACCACAAACATAATATCTTAGAATTGAGGACTATATATGGACAAATCACATGTTATAAAGGAAAATTTATAGGATTTACTCATTTATATTATTTAAGCAGGTTACCTACTTACCTTCATAAAATATTTTTTCTCTGCGAGATGGACCTGTATCTTTTTCTCTAGAGTGCAATAATATTTGTATGTTTTGATTCTTTAAGGCTCAGGCAGACATGCTTCTCGTTGAGATGGACTCTGTAATGAACGGCATAGTGGATCTCGTTTCTAAGCATGGTATCAGGAAGCTTGTTATGGGAGCAGCTGCCAACAAGTGTTACTCAAAGTAAAAACAGTAAAGAATTGCTTCCCATAATCTTCCCGAATCCCGATGCAATGTAAAAATCAAATAATACTCAGAAAGAGCATCCCATTTTGCCAATTCTCTTAGTTATAAATACCTTGTTCCTTAAATCGACCTTACAAGCTCCATCCCAACAAATAAAAGGTGATATACACTTGTCAAATTAAGTAGTGTGTGTGTGTGTGTGTGTATGTGTGAGTGTGTCTATGCATTTCTCAAAAAGAAAATGTCCACAACTATTTATTGCTTTCTTCCATTCCTACCATTTTGCAAAAAGTTACATTTAGCAGTTGGTCAGTCTTTTTCAGATCGTACATTAAAATTGCAGGAGAATGGCAGAGATCAAGTCTAACACAGCTATATATGTGTGTGAACAAGCGCCACCGTTCTGTCAGATCTGGTTTCTTTGCAAAGGGAATCTTATTTATACAAGGTATAGTTTTGTTGGAAACTGCATAGAAGCTCAGTGTAGATTAATATAGTTGAGATGCAGCAAGTTTTTATTTAGTATTCTGAAAACAAGATCAGAATATAAATTTCTGATAGCTGCGGTACAATGTGATTATTTATCACATCCCCTTTCTCCTCTCTTTTATTAGATGATATTTGGTTTCTCTCTCAATCACACAACCAAACAATTTTGAGGAGCACGGGCTAACAGCATCCACCATATGTGTGCAGAGAAAGTAGACCAGTGAGAGTTAATGCAGAGGTTGTATCTCCACCACTTGGGACAAGTTCTGATGTAGATAGTGTACATCAGAGCTTTCTAACTCCTCCAAGGAAAAATTTTACAGAAGGGCCCAATAATCAAGTAGATGTTACAAGATCTTTTCCAGAATTTCAGGGAGTACAATCATATAGCATCATCAAAAAACATTCTGAATATCCTAGCACAACTAGCACAGGTCGGATGTTTTTACCTAGCAGTTCAAATGTACTAGGAAGGTCTGATTTTTGGGATGGGGTGGCATCACTTTTTCCATCATCTTCACATGGAGATATATGCGAGGTTTCATCTCCAGCATCTATAACCAGGTGCAAAGGAGGGGGGGACACTTCACCGACCACTGCAGTAAGCTCCTTATTCCTTACTCCCTCCGTCCATAAATAAACTTCCCACTTTCCTTTTTCATCCGTCCACAAATAAACTTCCCGTTTCCTTTTTTGGAAACTTTTTTCATGCGAAAAGACTTAATTGCCCCCACCCTCCACTTTCTTTTCTTTTTCTTTCTTCTTCGACGCTTCTCACCCATTCCCTTCTTCTCTTCTCTTTTTTTTCTTTTTTCCTCTCCCTTCTGAAATCACCCACATGCCACAGCCACACATCGATTTCTTCTCTTCTTCATTCTTTTCCTTTCTTCTTCTTCTTCTCTCTTCTTCTTTAATTTCTTTTCCTCCATGGTTTGACTTTGTTCCGTCACCCAATGATTGGGAGCAGCGAGCAGAGAGAGGCGGGCAAGAAGAACCAGAGATGAAAGAGCAGATCTATGAAATCCCATGGTACATACGTGAACCAGAGAGAGGCGGGCAAGAAGAACCATGGTCAGATCTGTTCCTTTTTCGACATAATCGCCATCAATTTCATAGATCTATAAAGCTTTTGTTACTCCTAGCCTTGCCTCAAGCCGTCAAAACCTCGGATGGAAGAGATTAGATCTACGAGGGAGGGGTTACAGAAGGGATGGCGGCAAGAAGAACCACAGAAGTCATCCGATGGTTCCAGAGAGTCGGCGGCAGCGGCGGTAAAGAATCGCCGGCGGTGGTAGAGAATCGCCGGCGGTGGTAGAGAATAGCCGGCAGTGGTGTTGGCAATCAGAGAGTGGGTACCAGTAGATTGAAAGATGGAAGGTTGTAGGGGTAAAATAGGAAAGTCAAAGCAAATTTTATCACACATTAATATGCGTGCCCGGTCAAACCGGGAAGTTCTTTTTTGGACAGAGGGAGTATAACTTTGTTATGCTCAGTCTATGTGCTGAGGGGACACTTCATCTAACAACTTTTTCCCTGGTTTGCATTGAAATGAATTATTAATTGACCAACAGGTTGATTGTGTGGATGATGAGCTTAACGATAGAATTGAACAATACATGATTGAAGCAGAAAAAACCAGACAAGAAGCTTTTGAACAAACAAAGAAGCGTATGAAAGCTGAGAAGGAAGCACTTGAAGCTAGGCGCAGGGTATAATTTGAATCTTCATTTATTCAATTTCTTAGTCTTTATTATTTCTTTTTCCCTTCAACACATTATGATAGGACTAGTCATCTAGCGCCATAACTATGCACTAAATATGCGGATAGAGTAGGATGCTAAAATGATTCATTGTGAATTACTAGTACTTAATTTGTGATATTATTTTATGATTGCTAGTTAGTTATTAGAGTTTCCAATTCCATACATGTTCATTTAAGGGTCTGTTTGGAACCCGGAATATCCTAGGGCAAGAAAATGGGAGGGATAATAGTATATCATATAGTATAACACTGTAGCTTTTTGAAGCCTTTTGTGTACGCCAACGGGTACTCCATAATTTGGAAGGCAAGCTATTTGTCAGACTCCATCTTCCATAAATAAAAGTTCACTGTTTGTCTTCTATTATTAAAAAAATTAGAAAACAATGAGATACAGTAGGTGATTGAGTGTGATGGGCCCCAACTGTAATGGAGTGAATGGACACACGATTGAGGAGAGAGAAAATGAAAAGTAAAACAAATAATAAAAAATAGAAATAAGCATGATGCCATTGGAGTGTGAGAATAAAAAGCAACTGCATAACACTCTGAGTCATCCACTTTGACATTTAGCTGACCATTTTTTGAAGTATGCGTTGGAGTTGCTCTAAAGCTCAAATTATTTTACACAGTTGTGGATACTCATTTTATTTCTTTGTGTCTATAATACATAAAAATCTTTCTAGGTAGGGGCAACATGTACCGAACTCACTCTAGTCAAATGCCTTGCATGGTTGTTGTCTATAAAGACCAAGCAATCTAATTATACGTAAATTTTTTGAAGAATTACTCGTATTTTGTTTTCCTGTCCACTTCTTACTTTTTTATGTAAAACCAAACACGAGAATAAATTCCCCTAGCACTTTTTCTTTCTTTCTCTACCACTTTATGTGTAACTTCCTTTTTCTAACATTTTCTGTGATCCAAACAGACCCTTTGGGAAATTGGGAACATTCATTCCAGATTTTTGTCTTGCATTCATTGCTGTTACATGATTCCATACATTTCCTTGGTTTTAATAGATGGATAGTATAATACTATGTAGATGTTTGAGAATGATGTTCGCTTTTCAGGCTAATGCATCTGGAACAATGTATGCCGAGGAGTTCAGGCAAAGGAGTGCAAGTGAGGATGCGCTAGCAAGGAGAAAGGATGAAGTTGAACAGATGACAAGGGAGATAGCTAGAGTCAGGGAAGATCTTCAGGCTGCACAAGAACAGAAATCTTCAATGGAGAGTCAGATTGCGAACTCCGAGAAGACGGTACATGAGTTGGAGCAGAAGATGTTCTCTGCAGTTGAACTTCTGCAGAAGTTCAGGAAAGAGAGAGATGTTTTGGAGGTGGAGCGTGACAATGCACTTAGAGAGGTTGAGTATGTGAAAGAAAAACTTGACAAAGAAGCTTCAAATTCATCTACAGCTCAATTCTTTGCCGAATTCTCACTTTCAGAAATCAGAGAAGCAACTTTTCATTTTGACCCTAACTTAAAGATTGGTGAAGATGGTTATGGAACCATTTATAGAGGTCTTGTTCGCCAGACGCCAGTGGCAATAAAGATTTTGAATCATAATAGCTCACAAGGTCTATCGGAGTTTCAACAAGAGGTTAGCAATCAACTATCTAATCTTTTGAGGGACCGTTACTTAATAATTAATTATTTAATTCTGCGTTGTATTATATAATCCAGTATATAGAATAGATAAACACAATGAATTTGAACAAATATCTATGTTTTCACTCAAATTGTCTTTCCTCTATATTCTCTCACTACTTTATTCCCTTATATCTTGTTTGGGTTCAACTGGATCCTTAGCAATATACTCTCTCGAAGAAGGAAAAATTATTGCAAAATGATTATGGTCTATTTTTTTCATTTCCTGTTAGGTCAATATGTTGAGTAAGTTGAGGCATCCAAACCTAATCACTCTTATTGGAGCCTGTCCAGAGTCATTGACACTTGTCTATGAATATCTTCCTAATGGAAGCCTAGAGGACCGTATCAACTGCAAAGGAAACACCCCACCACTCTCATGGCAAACTCGGATCCGTATTGCAACAGAGCTATGCTCTGCTCTTATATTCTTACATTCCTGCACTGATCAAGGCATCGTTCACAGTGACCTAACACCTGCAAATGTTTTGCTTGATTTCAACTTTGTGAGTAAGCTCAGTAACTTTGGAACTTGCCGTGTTCTCTCTCAAGATGAACTTCTTTGGAGAGCTGACAAAAAAGGCACTTTTGTATATATGGATCCAGAGTTCCTTGCAACAGGAGAGCTAACTCCAGAATCTGATGTCTATTCATTTGGAATCATATTGTTGAGGCTGCTGACTGGAAAGCCTGCATTAGGAATCACAAAGGAAGTTCAATGTGCCTTGGATGAGGGGAACTTAGAAGATATTCTGGATCCAACGGCAGGGGACTGGCCGTTTGTACAAGCTAAACAGTTGGCTCACTTAGCAATGAGTTGCTGTGAGATGAATCGTGGGCAGAGACCTGATCTGGGTTCAGAGGCGTGGAAGGTGCTAGAACCGATGAGAAAGGCTTCATGCAGGGTCTCATCTTTTCAACTACTAAGTTTGGATGAGCGTTGCCATGTTCCACACTATTTTCTATGTCCCATTTTTCAGGTTAGCACATTTAAGTCGTCCGGTGATGTCCTTTTTAGGGCTTATTAATTTAATTCATACCAGGTCCGGGAAGCCGGTGTCTACGATGCTAATCCCGAACCCGTTCTGGATCCAACTATGGGTTCTCAAATGGGCCCCACTAGAGTAGAATGTAGGTATGGGGAAAATCCGAAAATGCTTGTGCCGCCAACAGAAGTGGTGGCACCAAACCCACCAACACCATTTAAAAAACATCTTTGTATGGTTTTTTAAACACTTCGATGAATTCATATATCTGTACCCCCCCCTCCCCCCCAAATTATTAAAATGGCAAATAGTAGGCAAGATCTTAAAAAAAAAAAACAACCCAATGAAATTAAAAAGAAGGTTTGGGGAGGGTGTGAGTGTGTCTATGCAGACCTTACTCATATTCTAAAGTAGAGAGATAACCAGATGTAAAAAAAAAAGCCTCTTTGTTAGTGGTTTTAGTGCGCACTTCTATTGGTGGCACTGGCAAAATCTGAAGAAAAAAAATCTATTTGCCATTAGAGTGTTGACATGTTTTTCTTGATGATTGGAATATGCAGGAAATCATGGAAGACCCTGTGGTTGCAGCCGATGGTTTCACCTACGAGGCCGAAGCTCTTCGAGGATGGTTGGACGGCGGTCAGGACACGTCGCCAATGACCAATCACAAGCTCTCACACACTAACTTTGTGCCAAATCGCGCCCTTCGGTCCGCTATACAGGAATGGCTCCACCAGCATTGACTCTTCATCTTGTGTATGCAACTCTTATTACTATGTCTTTCTTTGTTGTATAGATGAAGTATATATATACGGAGTATGTCGTAATTTGGTATATACCATTTGATCAGGATATACAGGTAACTTTATGAACCTTAGTACATAAAATGGTGATCTGTATTAGTTCTTGTTAAGAGATAAAGACCCAATTATTATTCCATTGAAAATGTGAGACAATAGTACAATTCATACAGGTAAGTATCAAAATACTCCTTCTGTCCAAATATTTCTTTCCCAGTTTGACTTGGCACGAAGATTAAGAAAACTTAAAAATTGTAAAGACTTTTCATGTTTATCCTTGATGTGACTAAAAAGTGAATAGTGGACAATGTGAGTTTCCCAATGTAGTACTGTATATTTTTATTTTCCATTGTAGTATCATTGTTTAATGTCTATTGGACATTGTTTAAGTAAATGTCCACTGGACATTATTTAAAGTAAATGTCCACCGTTATTGGACATTGTTTGTGCTACTAAACATTATTCAAATACTATTTTGAAAATAAAAAGTTTTAGGTACTGCATTGGGAAATGACATAATGTTTTAGTATTATTCATCAAGGTTGAATACGGGCTGACACGAATAAAAAGAGAGGCCCAAAAGCTATTGGACACTGGACAGCCGAGGGGGAGTTGAATTGAGCAAAGGAGCATGACCCAATGCCCTCCAGCACAAAACGAGCTGGGCTTGGGAATAGGCGGATATATATGATTGAGGGCCTGCTTTAGACCGTAGTTTCAAGCCCAAAAGATGCCAGGCTTTGGATGAATATGCTTGTACTATTGGTTCGACTGGTAAACTAATGTTTCGACTGGATAGACCATTAGTACCTCTAGTTCTTTTAAATGAGAGGCTTTCGTTTACGATTTTTGACTGAAATTATTTTTCAAATTATTGTATATGAAGAATGGAATAAAATTTAAAAAAAAAATAAAAATTACATCTTTACAAACTACATCAAAAGATATAGGGGTGAACAAATACCGAACCGTTACTGAAATTTTTCTTGAAAAAACTGAGAATACCGAATCAAAAAATACCGAACCAAAAAAGTATCGAGAAGGAACAGAAATGTACGGAACCTCTTGGAAGAGATTAAAATATGAGCTTTAGATAACTAGAGTTACATGTTTGAAAAAACTCAACAAATAGTGTGCTCTTTTTACTCCTCCACCCATGGTTTTTGTTTCGTTTCGATTTCGGTTTATGAAATTTTGATTAAAATTATTTTCAATTAAATTTAGAGAATATTTTGTATTATTTTAACAAACACCGAGTAACAAAAAAAAGTATGTGAAGAGAAAATTTTAATTTAACTATGTAAATAATACTCTAAAAAAATATTGGTATAGGAAGAATATTTACTCCGTGATGTAAAGTCTAAAATCTACTTGTAAAGCATATAGTGATAAATGATGAAAAGAAGACACTGAATCGTCACTACTAATCAAAATTAACATTGTCTTTATTTAAAAGTCAGGGCTTTCTCACATGGAGGACAAGAATTATTTAATGTTAGGACAGTTATTCAATATTTATAAGTATCTACAGAGTATTTGATATTTTAGACATTTTAGGTGTGTTAGAAGTGTTTTGTGGGATGCACAAAAAAATTAAAGTAGAACTGTTTTAGAAAACACAAGGAGTACAATTTTGTAGTAGGTTTTAGTCTTGACATGTTCAAAGTTAATTTATGCAATTAGTATACATTCCTTCGTCCCAAATTAAGGTCTTGTTTGGTTGTTGGCTGCAGTTGTTGGCTGTTTGTATCAGCTGTACAAAATAGCTGTTTAGTTTAGCTAGTTTGACCAGCAGGATGAGTTGGTTGTTCGTTAAAAATGTTTGGTAAAATTAGCTGTTTGAAAATAGCGGTTTCGATATATGTGTGTGTGTGTGGTATTTGAGCAATGTTTGACCGTTTCGTGGCTATGTATAGTAGCTGAAGTTCACCGTTGCAATAGTGCACGATCGACCGTGAGTCATGAACGATCGAACCTCTAGATCGTCTGGGCTGCAATAACCTGTAACGGTTAGATTTCGAGTTAGATATTTCTCCAACGGTTTTATCAACTTATTTATGGTATTTGAAGCCTCTTAACTATATTTTTCAAATCAAAGACTCATAATTCAATCCTATAAATACTCAATCATTCTCATTGATTTTGAGTTTTGATCAACAACCCAAGCTCTTAATCATCCATTCTTGAATTGGTCTTGTTCTTTAATCTTCGCATTTAACTTGTTAGAGCATTGTTTTTATTCTGATTTTACTTTTGTATTGTTTTAGTTTAATTTTTTTTTTGCAATGTTTTAAATAAAAGCATTATGAACATTAATTAGTTGTATTATTCTTTGCTTCATGTCTGACACAATTAACTTCCCTATTAGACTATAAGATTTAATAGAAACATTGGGAAGTATATATAATTAAACGCATTCTATATATATGGTTGAAATTTCGAAAATAAATACTCCGTCTCAGAGTATTTGTCCACACCATCCAATACACTTTAATCCATTTTATCTTGTAATTTGTATATTAAAAAATTATAGAAATTATATATTAATAATCTATATGTTAAGACAAATCAAACAAGATCACACATGACTATATTTAGGCTTACACATTGAGAGAATTTGATGAGTCAAAGTACTTAGATGAACAGTTGCAAAAGTCAAAAGTAGACGAATATAGCAGGACGGAGGGAGTACATGTTAATTACATACTCCATTAAATTTCTGAATAGTGTGGAATTTATTTGGATGCAAATAATGCAATTCAATCGTACAATCTTAATTAATGTTCTTAACTGTACGTGTAAGTATTTCATGCTTAGCATGATCATTTTTCTGTCATTACGAAGATTTAAAATCTCAGGAACACTACTCTCTTGACCAGCTGATGAGATGCGCCGTAGTGAACGGAAATTAGGAAGAGAGCTAAATAGAATTTCAATTTTACGCTTATTATTACTTCCTCCGTCTCTAAAAAAAACTTCATATATGTTTCATTTTTTGCGTATCTCATAAAATATTTTTATCTCGCCTAAAATATACTCTCTTCGCCCCTATTTGGATTACAAAATGAGAACTACGAGGTAAAATCTCACGATTTTTGAAATCATTTTATTTACAAATTGATACATCAATAAAAAATAAAAATTACATGTTAAGAAACTACATCAAAATTTCTACAAAACAAGAGGTGACAAGAGTATTTTATTTTATCAAATAATCAATGAAAACACACAAGCAAACAAAAGTTATCAAGAAGAGAAAAGAAATAAAATTTTAATCAAAATGGGGAGGGAGAGAGTATAAAGTACCCTAAAAAATACTTTTACTTGTAATAAAAGAAAAATATGATGAATTTTATACATCATACTGTAGAGATCGATGTATAGAAATGAATTTAGGGATGCACAAAAAATGAAACATGAAATTTTTTTAGACACCGTGGGAGTAGGTAATTTTAAACTTTTCATTTTCACAAAATTTTCATTGAACTTTTATTTTTTTTCTTTTTTACTTTTTATTATGAAATTAAAAATCCATATTATTTCCTTTATCTCGGCCTAATTGATTACTCCCTATTTCAAATTTTTTCCAACATAATGAAGACGCTAGTGCACAAAGCTCTTGCTTTAGAAAATCCTATTGGAATTTAATGCCAAGCACTTGTACATTCTAGAAGCTAAGCACTCAAAAAAATTAACATTCTCTCATAAATAAACTAATCTTAGGTTAGACCCCCAAACACACTTTGTTTTTGGTCTTATCTTTCTTCTTGCTTTTCTTTTTAGAACATTCTATTTGATTTTTTCAGTTTTCTTATTTGGAAATTAAAGGTCATGTTCTCTTCATCCAAGCTAATTAAATTGGACTGTTTGAAAAATGATGATGTGTGGTTGGTAGAAAGAAGGCGGATCGTAGTAATGATCATCTCGAAAATTCATTTTTAATGATTACTACGGGTGGCTTGTGGAAAAAGTGAAAAAATCGACCTAACCAGTCTTCACCCAAGCTAATTAAAAAAATTTAAACTAAACTATGTCACACCCTGACAACAGCGTCATTTGATGATTGAGTTTTTCGGTAATTAAGTCTCATTGGGAAGGTTGAGTTATCAAAAAACTCAATCATCACGGCCGCCGTTAAGTTACCCTCTCGGTAACAGTTTGCTAAATCTCATGTTTTGATGTAAACAAACAATATGTATATGAGCTCATATTTGTTTGAGTGTTTCACGAATAACAAGTAACGATTCTCAAGAATGAAATTGAAATACCAAATTAGCATAGAATATAGGTAGAGTTAAATATAAGAATGTGATTTTATATGCCTATATTTACAAGCTCAATATGCACTCATAAACACGCTTAAAATGATCTTCCGATCCAAATTCAAACTTGCACACACATAGAAATATTTTCCGTTGGGTATTTATTTTTTAGACAAATAATCAAATAAATATTTTTTAAAAAAAAATATTTTGTGATTTTCCAAAAACTCACAACACAAAATATGTAGATTTTTTCAATACGAGATCGCTGATTTTTGAATAAAAACAGGTCAGAAGAGCATTTTATTTTATCACAAGAGTATTTTATTTTATCAATAAATCAATGAAAATACAAAAACAAAAGTTATCATGAAGAGGAAGAAAAATAAAATTATAATCAAAATGAGGATGAAGGGAGTATAAAATACCTTCAAAAATACTTTTACTTGTAATAAAGGAGGAATATGGTATCTTTTATACATTATAGATATGTATAGAAGTGAATTTAGGGATGCACAAAAAATGAAGCGGGAATTTAGTTTTCACAAAATTGTCAATTAGGTTTTTTTTTTCGTTTTCACAAATTAAAATTGTCATTTGGGTTATCTTTTTTTTTCTTTTTACTTTTTTATTACGAGTATGAAATTAAAAATCCATATTACTTCGTATTCTTTTCTCTCGGCCTAATTGATTGTTTCCAAATTTTTCCCAACATAATGGAGACGCTAGTCCACAAAGCTTTTGCTTTAGAAAATCCCATTGGAATTTAATGCCAAACACTTATACATTCTAGAAGCACTCAAAAAAAAAAAAAAACTCCGTATTAACTTTCTCAGTTTCTCTCATAAATAAACTAATCTTAGGTTAGACCCCCAAACATACTTTGTTTATTGGTCTATTTTCTTTTTAGACCATTCTATTTATTTTTTTCCGTTTTCTTATTTAGCAAATAAATGTCATGTTCTATTTAATTTATTCTTTATATTTATAACCTTTTTTTCTTTTGGAATCAGATCAGTATAGATCAGACCAGATCAAATCGAAAATAGCTTTAAATATAACTATATTCAGATCAGATCAGGCCAGATCATATCAGATCAGAACTTATTCCAATCATATCAGAACCATTCAGATCAAGTGAACAGTGGCCAAAATACACTAAAAAGGCTTATTTACTCCTCTTCTTTTTTCTTCTTTCTCTCATATAACGGTATAAGTGAGACTACTACGTACTAGCTAGACGGAGTACGTCTTAATTATATTAACCTAATATATTAATTTTAATAATAATTAAATTTACACATATTATTTTTGGTTTCGAACAGATACTACATTGTAACAATCTTAATAATAAAAAATATATTATTTTAATAATTTTTTATCTAACTTACCAGAAAAGTACTCGTCTAATTTGATAATAATACTCCGTAATGCTGTAATAATAGGCTAATAGCTAGAGATCTGTAGTCTTTTTGACTCATTCTATATATAGTATAATTAATTAGGGAGCGTAGTAACGTAAGCAGTGAGTTATGAGGGATTGAGGGTCGATAAAGTCATTTACAAATTCAAATTACTTTGCATAAATTTAAAAACATAAATATAGTCGTTCAAAAAAACAAAAACAAATTAAAATCTCTGATAAAAATCTATCTTGTAAGGCCCCGTATCGTTCAACTTATTTTTTCTTATTCTTATTAAAATCAAATCAGATCTAATCTGATCGAATCAGATCAGATCAGATCGAATCAGATCAGATCACACTACAAGAATTTGTCAAATCTGCAATGGACAAATTCTGTCGCAGTTTTGGAAATTCCGTAGCAAATTCATAATCTGCAACGGACCTGCGACAAACTTTGTCCGTCGCAAAAAACTTGTCGTTAGGCCAAAATCTGCGACGGAGAAGAACATCCGTTGCAGATCTGCGACGACATTTGCAACGGGGTTCTTTCTGCAGCATTTTATTCAATTCTGCGACGGACACTTTAGTCCGTTGCAGATTCCATCGCAGATTTGCAGCAATATGAACCAGCTTCTACAAATTTTACTTATTTTTTAGCCCAAGCACTACACTAATCAATGATTCAAAATGAAAGATCACTAGAAACATTTAAGTGTCATAACATCATTACACAAGCATAATTATAAATATTTTTGTTATATCTTAACGAGTCATTACAAAAACAATTAAATATCATAAAGATATACTTGATATATATGATACAATTTGTTACTCACTTATTTTTTACTAATTGACATACTTTATTCAAGTTATCAATCCGCTACCGCTATTTTAATCTTTTGTTCCTATCTTTCAAGCACACAATTTCTACAGCACCACTTGTACTCTTATGCATTGTTGATCTCATCTCCACTCTTATGCATTGTTGATCTCATCTTTGTAATTCAATGGTTGAACACCAACCAATCTTGACCATGATTGAATCTATAACTCTTTAGTCCCAATTCCTGAAAAAAAAGTATTAAAAAAAACAGCAATTGGA